AAGAGAGTACTTTATGTTTTTCACTTTCAAAAATGATAACTTTTGATACAATCTGGAGGAATTGGCATTTTTAGTGCAAGTTTTTTTTTCCTTTTCTAAGGAAGAGTGACATCTGGGCTTTATACCTAGACCTTCTAGCACTTGAAGCGAGTCCCGAAAACCTCGATCTACGACAAATACATCATCCTCCTGGACTCATTCATGCACTGCATCAGCATGTTTATTCATGGCATGGTTAAGGATAGCTGCATCGTTTTTCTTTGAATCTGCAAAGTATGGGCCTAAAATGGACAGTGTAACGTGTTTATCTAAACAATAGGGTTCTTTATAAGGGATATATGATTTTCCTTGTACTCTATCTGAGTAAAAATGATTAGTAGATATGATAATTTTCCTTTACTCTTCCTGTGTATAATGATTCTGTATCTATTCGAAAAATAATTATACTATCAGAGGCTCTACCGAGGGCTATATAATTATTTTAAATGTGACTGGGTAACTTCACCGCGTATTCTTGGTAAAAGGGTTCCTATTAATATAGAGAATCAGGCGCCTCGATCTTATTAGACCTACTACCTCCTGACTCTCAAATTAATTCCCCTAATACCTTACCGCTGGTGTACTTATCTACCCTAGCCTTACGTTTGTTTGTCGTTGTCTTCTCTGTGACTTCTCCGCTGTCTGACTTCAACGCAATTCCCCGCATCTGCCAATTGCACTGACTTATATACCCTTGGAACAATCTATTTCCAAGGGGTGTCCGGTCATTCCATTTTTTGGGGGTGTTCTGTACGTTTCTCTTACGTTTCACTACCCACGCCTCTGATATCGTGCGTCCCGCACGCCAAATCAATGAGAATCATATAGATATATTTTTTTTTATATTTATTCACTTATATATAATTTTTTTTTTATTACTACATATATTTTTTTTAAAGACATATCTAGAGTAACTATTTGTTACAACATGCATAGCAATAATAAACATGTGAATCCCGACTAGACCAAACATACGTCTACATATTCTTGTGAACTGTACAAAATAAAACAGTTAATCATTCCAGATGTCCTCTTCCAATCGCTCGACTATTTCACCATCTTTTTGAAATTTCCTCGTGACCCTGATAATTTTCTGGTGACTCTTTTCTGCCTTGATTGCATCAGTTTGCGTTTCAACATCAACTTTCTGTACTTTCTTCTGACAGCAAACACAGTGTTGTTCATCAAAAGGCTCATTTTGGGCATCAGAACCACTGTCGCTAGGTTCCACTACCTCTTCAGTTGTTGTAGGCAAATCTTTTGTCACGGTTTCTTGGACGCTAGCATTTCTTCGCTTAATCCCTGGTAAAACTGGAGATGTCTTCTTTCGGTACGTTCTGCCAGCTTCTAAGTCCACATCCTCAAACAGAAGTTGACCAGGATCCTTCCGCCAGTCTTCCTCATCTTCAACTTGTTTTGGTGTTTTATTCTGGTAAGTCGTTTCTTGATTTGGGTGTACTCTTTTTACATGTCGAACTAACACAATCTTTTTGCTAAAAGCTTTATCGCAATGATCACATTCAAATTTTCTCTTGTTGATATCTTCCACACCACAATTCAGGATATGTTTACCCCACTCGTCCTTGGTTGGTAAACGACTAAGGCAAATACAGCACAAAAATCCAGGTTTTCTTGGTGTAACTTTGGTCTTCGGCATTCTGTCTTACAATCTGAAATAAATACAATCATATTAAACATTGTAATCAAACTCATATTCAGAATGCCATGCAGGCCTTTTTCGTTGTCTACGACCTGAATAAGCTAATTCTATTTCATTCAATTCTGAATTTCCTAACATTTCCATACGAGTTTCATCATTGTCAATTTCAACATCAGCACCCTGATCCTGATCTTTTGAAATGACACTCTCATTTTCATCCCTAAGGACCTGAGTCCCATAAGGTCTTATTCTATCTACATGTACAATGAGGGTATTTTCAGTGTCATCTTTGCTGATTTTGTATGTGACATCAGTCTGTTTCTCTATTATTGTATATGGACCGTACCAGAAACTCATAAGTTTTGCAGACCTCCCTACGCTTCTCTGTGGAAAGAAAACTAAAACCTTATCACCAACACTGAAACCTTTCCCGACAACATTCTGATCATGGTACTTCTTTTGCCTCAACATTGATTGTTTACTTATTTGGCGTGTGTATCTATATGCCTCTTCCAAGCTCTCACGAAGTTTCCAAACATAATCATGTACATAAGTCGGTTTCATATCACTGGGTAACTCGTACATTATATCTAGAGGTGTTGCTACCTCCCTCCCTAACATGAGCATGTTTGGACTATAGCCTGTACTTTCATGCAAAGAGGACCGATATGCCATGAGGACATAAGGTAAGTTTTTGTCCCAGTCAGTTTGGTGGTCAGACACGTAGGCACTAAGCATGGTAGCCAAAGTTTTATTGAATCTTTCCACCATTCCATCGGACTTGGGATGGTACGCTGTGGTTCGGGTCTTTCGTATACCAAGTAGATTGCAAACCTCATTGAAAAGCTTGCTTTCATATTGTCTGCCTTGGTCACTGTGTATAATCTGTGGCACACCGAACCTGGTTATGAATTGTTCCACTAAAACTTCAGCCACTGTCTGTGCTTCCATGTTCTTGAGAGGGTAAGCTTCTGTCCACTTAGTGAAGTAGTCAGAGATCACTACGACATACCTATTACCGTTTTCAGTTTCAGGAAGTGGTCCCATGATATCCGTAGCTACTCGCTCCATAGGGTTTCCAGTTTGATCCATCTGCATAAACGTCTTCCCAGCAGAACGAATCTTTCTTTTCCGACACTGAGAACATCCTGTGACATAGTTCCTAACGTCACTCTGTAATCCAGGCCAATAAAATTTTTCTCGAATTCTTGCCAATGTTTTTGCAACACCAAGGTGTCCGGCTGTACGTACATCGTGACACTGCTTAAGGATTTCTCTTCTTTCTGATAATGGGATCAACACCTGATTATAACTTTTCCTATCGGCTACCCATTTTCTAGAAAGTAAATTATCCTTCAATTCCAAGAATTTATACTTTGACCAAAGAGACTTAATAACGTAGCTTTCATTTTTAATCTGGACATATTCTGGGCGTTCTTTCTGTTCCACCCATCCCCTTACTTTCTTCAAATCGGGATCATTTTCTTGAAGACTTAGCATTGAAGACTTTTCATCAGGAACAGAGTCCGAGGTTACTATCTGTACATTTGCCCCCTTGTCAACATTTTCTTCATGTCCACACTGACGACATGGGTATCTACTTAAACTGTCAGCATTACTGTGTTTGGCTCCGGGTCTGTGAGTGATTTCTAGGTCATAGGTACTAAGTAGTTCGATCCATCTGGCCACTTGTCCCTGGGGATCTTTAAAACTCATTAACCATTTTAGGGCACTATGATCGGTGCGAACGATGACTTTATGACCATAAAGATGATGTCAAAATGTTTGCATGCAAAAACAAGAGACAATTCCTTTCGGGTTACACAGTATTTTCGTTCACTCTTGGACATTGTTCTACTAGCATTTGATGTTACTCTAGTTTTGCCGTCTATATCCTGCGACAATACTGCGCCAAGTCCAACTTGACTGGCAACCGTATCAAGTATAAAAGGCAATGCGAAAATTAGATGTGCCAATATCGGAGCAGTTATCAAACACTTTTCAGTCTATCAAAGGCATTTTTACAATCAGACGTCCACTTGAACTCTCTTCCTTTTTCTGTTAACCGAAATAAAGGTTTTGCAATGCTAAAAAATCCATCTATAAATCTTCGGTAATAGCTGCATAGGCCTATAAAAGATCGTACTTCACTGACATCAATTGGTACCGGCCACTGTTCCACGACAGCTACCTTCTGGGGATCTGTTTGAACTCCGTCACCAGACACCTTATAGCCTAGAAACAGAACTTCCTTTTTAAACAAAGTGCATTTTGCAGCTTTGAGTTTTAGACCAGCCGACTGTAATTTTGTAAATACCTGTTCTAAGTTTTGAAGCGTTTCATCAAATGTTTTCCCAAAGATAATAATATCATCAATATATACCAAACATATATTGAAATTCAGTCCAGCCAAAACTATTTCCATGAGCCTTTCAAACGTCGCTGGGCTGTTACATAGTCCAAAAGGCATCACAGTAAACTGGAAAAGATCATTTCTGGTTACAAACGCAGTCTTCGGTTTGTCAGGCTCATTCATTTCGACTTGCCAGTAGCCTGAGTGAAGATCTAGGGTGCAAAACCACGAAGCTCCATCAAGTCTATCTAAGGAATCATCAATGCGCGGTAAAGGGTAGGCGTCCTTTACCGTTTTACTGTTTAATGACCGATAATCTACGCAAAACCTTTTTGTGCCGTCCTTTTTCTCAACAAGAACAACCCCGGCAGCCCATGGACTGGAGGAGGGTTCTACGATGCCTTTTTCAACCTTATTTTTCACTTCTTGATCAACAAACTCGGCAGCATGATGCGGTAACCTTCTGGGAGGTTGCTTGGTTGGTTTTCCTCCTTCGGTCTTGATATGATGCTTTATCAATGATGTTCTTCCAAAGTCATCTTTGCTTTTTGAAAAGATTTCTCTGAACTTGATTAGAACATCTTTAACTTTAGTCGCCTGTTCCTTTGACAAATCAGTTTTCGTTTTATCAAATAAATCTTTCAAATGCTCAGGAACATTCCCTTTATCCTCTTCAGAAGTAACATTATTAACAATGCCTTCTTTTTCAGGCACAAATACTTCTCTTATTGGGGATGTCAATCCTACTACTGTGTTCTTATAGATTGTCTGAGGCTGACTAGATATGTTCATAAGTCTCACTGCCACTTTTTCAGATGAATGGACAAGCGATCTGGCCACCAAGGCTCTTCCACTATCCTGAAACTTAGCCAAGGGTTCAATCAACAAAGGTATCTGTGGAAGTTTTGGTATGTCCAATCGAGATACCGGAAACGATACAAAACATAAACAAATGTGAACCCAACGAGGAAAACCAAAATAGCTATCAAGACATCTGGCAGGAGCTTGTTAAAGTCAGGAGAACACATCCTTCACAACTGATCTGTGGTTATCTTAATATCAACAGTCTCGCGGGAAAGTATGAGCAGATTCAAGACATTTTACGGCGTAATCTTGTTGATATGCTGTTCCTGGCAGAGACTAAACTTGATGACTCCTTTCCTGATGCCCAATTTGCAGTTGACAACTACACCTTATGGCGGGCCGATCGAAATAAGCATGGTGGAGGAGTGCTAGCATACCTAAGATCAGATGTAGCTGGAGACCGAAAACCCACCCTCGAATTTAAAGACATAGAGTCAGTGGGCATAGAGGTAACATCAAATGGTAATAAATGGTTCTTTGCAGGAGCTTATAAACCGCCTCAGATGGAAGACACAGTATTTAGTGATGACTTCAGTCAAACTATAGATAAAATCATAAGTAGATATGACAACTACATCATAGTTGGTGACTTAAACTTCAACATGCTTGACAAAAATAAAAGTTCTGTTCTATGTGACATATGTGATATACATGATGCCAAGAACATTGTTAAAAAAGCAACATGTTTTACTAAGATTGGGAAACCATCTCTTTTAGATGTTATTATAACAAATGAAAATGATAAATGTGGCAAAGTATGTAATTTTGGAACTGGAATTAGTGACTGTCATAATTTTATTTCTGTTCAGGTAAATATTGAAATCAGAGAAAGAGAAACAAAGACAAGAATGTGTAGAAGTTTTAAGAATTTCAATGCTGAACTTTTTACTTTGGAATTAGAAGATAAACTATCTGTACTATCTGATAGCACCGATGCAAATGAGGCATATGAAAGTTTTAGTAATTGTTTTTTAGATGTAGCCAATAAACATGCACCCCTTAAAGAAAGGAAAATATTAACAAAGCAAGTGCCATACATGAACAAAGAACTTCGTAAGGCTATATACAAGAAAAAAATGTATTATAATAAATATCAGTCGATAAAATCAAACCAGAACTGGGAGAACTATCGACAACAAAGAAATCTTGTAACCAAATTAAAGAACAAATCTATAAATCAATATTTTATTGAAAGGTGTGCTGGGGGACCAAAATCAAAAGATTTTTGGCCAACTGTGAAGCCTTTTTTAACAAATAAAGGGTCCCTCACACAAAATGATGTAACTCTGTCAGAAAATTCAAAACTTGTAAATAATCAAAATGAAATAAGTGAGATTTTTAATGATTTTTTTTATAAATGTAGCCAAAGACATTGGAAATGCAGATGAAAAGGTTGATGAGGACCACCCAAGTATCAAGGCAATCAGAGAAAATACTCAAGGTACAACACAACCAAGTACATTTTCTTTCTCGCCCATTAAGGAAGATTTTGTCAATAAAAATATTAAAAAAATCAATGTAAAAAAGGCCACAGGTATTGACGGAATTTCTCCAAAACTTTTGCAAATTGCTAATCCAGTTATCAGTAAACCTTTGACCAAAATAATTAATCTATCCCTGGTAACATCAACTTTTCCTGATCAGCTGAAAATTGCTCAGGTTACTCCAATACACAAGAAAAATAGTACCTTAGAGAAGGGTAACTATAGACCAGTGAGTGTCCTCCCAACAATATCAAAACTTTTCGAAAGAGCAATAGAAACACAGTTAACAAACTTTTTTAATGACATTTTTAATCCTTTTTTATCAGCTTTTCGGTCAGGTTTCGGATGTCAGTCTACTCTGTTGAGAGTTATTGAAGACTGGAAATATGCCCTGGATAAAAATGAATACACTGCAGCTATTTTAATGGATCTTTCCAAGGCCTTTGATTGCCTTCCCCATGAACTACTTCTTTTGAAGCTAAAAGCCTATGGGCTATCTGAATCAGCACAAGAAATGCTTTATAGCTACCTCTCACATAGAAAACAATGTGTTAAATTAGGGCATCATGTTAGTGACATGTTAAACATCATTAAAGGTGTCCCACAAGGATCTATTCTTGGTCCCCTGTTATTTAACATATTTATAAATGACCTGTTTTTCTTTGTAGATAAATGTAACCTCTACAATTATGCAGATGATAACACCCTATCAAAGTCTGATAAATCTCTAGAACAGGTGGTAGCAGCTTTAGAACATGATAGTAGATCTCTCATTACATGGTTCTCTTCAAATAAAATGCAGGCCAACCCTGAAAAATTTCAGGCAATTTCTATTGGAAATAAAACACACAGTAAAAACATTGTATTTGATTTAGATGGAATCAAAATTCCTTGTGAGGATGAAGTTAAGTTGCTAGGTATAACCATAGACTTTAAGTTGTCTTTTGATACACATATTACAAATATGTGCAAAAAGGCTGCAAGGCAATTAAATGTTCTTAAACGGTTAGGAAAGCACTTAACAAAGTTAGGAAAACTTACAATATATCACTCTTTTATCATGTCAAATTTTAGTTATTGCCCCTTAACATGGCATTTTTGTACTGAGCAAAATACTCGCAAAATAGAGAAAATTCAGGAAAGAGCATTAAGATTTATTTACGAAGATTATAAAAGTTCTTATGAGAGTCTTTTACATAAATCTAAACTACCATCTTTGAAAACCAGAAGAATGCGTGCCATTGCTATAGAAACCTTTAAAATTTTACAAGGTTTAAGTCCTGTCTTTTTGCAAGATCTGGTTGTTTTTAAAAATAATTCATACAATTTTAGATATACAAATACTGCAAAGGTCCCAAGACCAAGAACAACAAGGTATGGGATGAAATCATTTAGGTATGAGGCAGCAAAGCTCTGGAACTCTCTACCCAATGAAGCCAGGCAATTCTCCTCATATAATCAATTTTCAAATTACATTTCAACTTGGTGCGGAGAACTAAATTGTAAATGCAGCTCTTGCAGACTTCAGACTTCTATGCCTCATACCTAATTTTCAGTTTTATAGATGATCGTCTTAAGTTATTATTTATTTATTTATTTTTTTTTTTACAGTATTGTGCTTTCTTAACCTTTCCTCCTTGTTTGTGTGCATGACTTTTGTTTTAAGTACTTGTTGTTCTCTTATGTTGACTCTTTTATTTTCTTTGTGTGTTGCTCAAATGATTTGTCTTTTATTTCTTTCTTTTCTTTTTATGTCAGTTTATCAATGTCTTTGGTTACACTTGTGTGTTTAAATGAACTTCTGTCTTTGTGAACTTTAATGTGATATTTGTGCTCTTATGTGTAAATATGTACATTTTATTATAAATATGTTTTTATGTTTCTAGTCGGTAAAAGAGCTTTATAGCTCATGTTCTCTGTTATGTGTATGTAGTCCGACTATAAATAAAATTTACTTACTTACTTACTTACTTACTTACTCCAATACTTGACCCGAACACACCATTTCGCTTTTGGGAGGAATAGATATGGTTTCACATAGACTGACGCGAAAACAACCGATATTTCCTTGGAGTTCTAATTCATGTTCTACTCCATGAACATGCATCTTGGTCTTACAAACGTCGACAAGACATTGGTTTGTTTGTAAGAAATCTAATCCTAGAATACCATCTGCTTTGATGTTAGCTATTACTGCCTGGGTTTCAAATTCTTGAGAACCAAGTTTTATGTGGAATAATCCTTTCCCTTGTACATTAAGAGGAGCACCATCAGCACCAACGATTCTCTGTGTAACTGGTGAAAGTCCAATTTTCCCGGTCTTATTTATTTTATCATACAACTGATCTGATAAAATAGTAAGAGTTGCGCCAGTGTCTAACAATAAATTACACCGAGTTCCATTTACCATCGCCTTAATAAACAAACCAGATTCTTGTATGTTTTGGTCAACTTTCAGTGAGGTTGTGCTGGAAACTATTGAACCACTCTTCTTCTGTGAATCTGTATTTTCCTTCAGGTTAGGCGAATTCTTCAAGTCTGTTTTTGGCATCTTAGATTCACCCTGACTGTTTTTTACAAAGCAATCTTTCATCATGTGACCTTTTCTTCCGCAATTGTGGCATTTAAAAGGAAACTTGCCTTGCTTGCTTAAAGAACTTGAAGTGGTGATTGTTTCTTTTGTTAAGACATTAGCAATTTTCTTTTCTAAATCTTTTAGGGAAGCCTGTATTTCATCCCTCAATTGCCTTAGTTCGTCCCTGACCACTGAGTCTTGTTGAGCATCTGGTGTTACTTGATTATTACTTGTGTTCCTGACATATCCACCGTCTCCTCTTCTCTGTCGCTCTGCTCTACAGAAAGCCTCTATTTCCACGGCGAAGCGAACGGCATCATTTAATGACTTTGGTCGTGATTGCTGAATGCGAAGTCGCATATCAAAATCAGCCAGTGCGTCTACAAATTGATCCTTCGCTATCATCTCCGTAACTTCTCTGGGTGCCGTTGGATAAGCGAGTTGTGCCAATCGTCGAATGCTTTCACCAAGTTCTGGCAAAGATTCACTTGGCTTTTGACGTTTTTCTCTAAGCATAGCTCGATAGAGTTCAGTTTGATTTGCAGGTGCGAATCTTGATTCCAATGCGTCACACAGCTCCATATAGGTTCTATTTGCACCTGGTCGCATATTACCAAGGACCGTTTGAGCCGTCCTCTTAAAGAGGCTGCAAGGTACAAACTTTTCTGTTGTGAGTTCCATGAGTTGATATCGCTACATGCTTCGAAATGGGCTTTATAATCGATCCATGATCCCGACCCATCATATGTTGCAGGTTTCATAATTGTTTTACCGTATGAATATTCCTTGGGCCGTGCATCTGAAATGTTCTTGCTCAAATCAAGAGTAGGAAGATGTCTATATACCGGTTCCTGCAATGGATTCTGGTTGTTTGACCAAGTAACCGTGGAGGAAGTTGATGACGACACCGCACACCTATTATACAAGGGAGGGGTTGGTGTCAAATGTGTCTCGGTGAAAACTGGTTGACTTATTGTACCAAAGCGCCGCAGCTTATTTTCTGTATCCCTATGTAAGGTTCGATCTGTCGTTTCTCTATCTTGGTACAATGTATAACCAGGCTCCGGATAAAGCATCTGTCCAAGTGCATGTCCTGTGTTGCTTGGTGTCCTGTAATCTAATTCATCTAAAGTGTTGTCTGAGTTTCTGTACTTAACATCTACTCCGGAATCTGGTAACACTGAAGACTTGGTAATCTGAGGTGTCGAACGTAATTTCTCTATTTCTTCTCTGAGCTTTTCCCTTCTGGCATCAATAGCGCTGAGGTCAGCTATCAATTCGTCCTTTCTATCACTCATTCTGGTAAAATTTGTATTATGTTCCTGGTTTTCTCTATTCTATAACTGCACACAGTCAACGTACTTGGTAAACTTTACCAAGTCACACACAATACCAAAATTATAATGAACCTAACCTATATACCCGGTAAAATATACACAATTTCTAAACTTGGTAAAATCAAAATACACCTGATATAATAAAATCAACAAAAGAACAATACTAATTTCCCTACAGAATCAAATTTAATCAAGTTTCTATCCCCTAACCCGCTGCCACCAAAATGTAACGTGTTTATCTAAACAATAGAGTTCTTTATAAGGGATATATGATTTTCCTTGTACTCTATCTGAGTAAAAATGATTAGTAGATATGATAATTTTCCTTTACTCTTCCTGAGTATAATGATTCTGTATCTATTCGAAAAATAATTACACTGTCAGAGGCTTTACCAAGGGCTATATAATTATTTAAATGTGACTGGGTAACTTCACCGCGTATTCTTGGTAAAAGGGTTCCTATTAATATAGAGAATCAGGCGCCTCGATCTTATTAGACCTACTACCTCCTGACTCTCAAATTAATTCCCCTAATACCTTACCGCTGGTGTACTTATCTACCCTAGCCTTAGGTTTGTTTGTCGTTGTCTTCTCTGTGACTTCTCCGCTGTCTGACTTCAACGCAATTCCCCGAATCTGCCAATTGCACTGACTTATATACCCTTGGAACAATCTATTTCCAAGGGGTGTCAGGTCATTCCATTCTATAGGGGTGTTATATACGTTTCTCTTACGTTTCAGACAGGAAGTATCCAAATGTAGAACAGATGACCATAGGCTTAAACAGGGGACGTCATTTGTGCATGCTGTATGACCGCCTTTGGAATTGAAAGTTTTCACTTTTCTGGATAAAGATGTAAGTACCATCTATTACGAGAATGGCTCTGGGGTCCAATGCATCACCAAATAAAAGCTCTGCTAATGGCCTTGTGTGATTTGAAATGATGGCTTTCCCTGAAATGTGTTGAAAACCAAGGTGGTTTGTTACAAAAGTTTTCGCCGGTGTTTTTCTTACAGAGGAAATTGCACGACGCAGGTTTGACTTTGAAATTCCAAATAAGGTGGCAATAATTTTGGTTAAAAGTGTAAACTTCATCTTCATACAAGAGATTGCAATGGATGTCTCGATGCTTCTATAGCTAGTT